AATTCATGTATCAGCACATTTTACGGGTGAAAAACGGAATCTGCACTGTGCACAAGCAGTCTGCCTTTGGCAAGGCCCTGGCGAAGCTGCAATTGCATAGCCCGGGCCCGGCGCAGCTGGTGTTGAGCTAAAAGCTGGCTTCTCCTGCGACAAGGTCTTTGGCGCGAGAATAAAATGAGAAAGTCTAACCCTTTTTCAGCAAAACCCTCTCAGATGCCACGCAGCACCACAATTCAGTCTAGAACATCAGAATTGCATGTAAAACTCGTTCAATTGCTGAAGCCATAGCCATCGCTGACCCGCTCACTTTGATCTTCACGTACAGAATAGTTCTTCTTGTTTGCTATCAGCTCCTGGGCAGCAGCACACATGCCAGGCTCCATCCTGTCAAGGGGTTGCAGCATTCTTTATGACAAGCCAGCTGCTTGGCAAACAACGACCGCACCACAGAATGTACATATCTCAGGCCAGTTGTCTGCAAGAATGTCAAGCTGTCGCAGCTCGGGGACGGATAATTTCGAGGGACTTGTGGATTCAAAGCCATATTTATCAGTTGAGCATCGCGCACAGAGGCAGCGCTATCAGCCAGAAAGTTCAGCAAGACCTCCGAACAGCTGAAGAGCCGTCAATCGCTGCGGTTCTTCAGCTGAGGCACAAGTTCCCACTCTCTTCCGATTGCTGCAAGCTCTTTACTGTTCCTTTTGGGGGGCAGCTCAAACGATAGTATTAAATATCGAATACATTAACACAACCCTCATGCCAATTTCAATACTGGTACTAGTACTGGCACTGCGAACATCAAGCGCATCAATAATCCTGACCACCCCAAACAATTTCAGGGAGGCACTAGTAATCACTGTCACGTCTACGTGTTTTTGGAGGGGCCACATATTCAAGACGGACGCGACACTAGATCACACGTCTGGGACACACGACCTCGGGGCAACGAGGACACCAACAAACCGGTCCTTGCTGTCGGGCGAGAAGCCACTTCGGGAACCACTGTCATCTGTGCATTCGCGGTCGCGGCAGTCACCGTAGGCACTGCAGTGGCACCTCTTGCTGCAGCTGAAGCCGCAGCTGGGCCCGAAGCTGATGCGGCTTGTGTAGTTCTTGCTGTGGATGGAGCCAAGGCTGAAGCTGGAGGCACGGTAGCAGATGGCAGAGGCTGCGCAGGTACAGCTTCTGCTTGTACGGAAGGCTGAGACGCAAATGGAGTTGTGGCCATGGAGCTGAAGGCCCCAGTCGCCGCTCGTGGTGTCTGCGGCAATGCGCTGCCAATACTCGAGGCCTGCCGAATTGTCTTGTTACACTCGCATGCCACTCTGGCCACCAGCAAGCCACTCCTCGAAGTCCTCCTCGTAGTGCATGGAGGGTCGTTTTGAGGGAGTGCATCCGGAGACCGCATCCTCTGCAACAGCGCTTGATACTACATGCACAAACACATGCTGCACCACTTGGATAGGATTGGTGCTCAAATCCTGCAAACGCTTATAAACAAGGCGGGCGCGTGAAAAATGTGTCCTCTCTGCCTGCAGAACTCTGTGAGGCAAGTTTGGGCTGCAGCGGCAGAGCCTGGCAGCTGCAAATGACAGTAATTCCAAACCAAAGGAAGCCTGCGGGTCAACCCCTGCGTTGCATGCCTGGGTGCTTTGCCCAGCACGCTGGCCTGGTGCATCACAATTTCAACCACATTCGAAAGAAAAGCGCAACTCATGCTTCAGCCAGGCTTGTGTGCTGAGGCCGCCACCGCCGATCTGCGTGTCATGTGGGGCTTCTCTTGTGGAAGCAACTAGATCGCTCATTGGCCGGATGTTCCCGAACACATTGCGAGGTTCACCAGACTGAGATGATGCACTCTCTGTTGACACAGGAGCTGGGGATTGTGACCGAGATCTCCGCACGGGTGGCTGAGAACTCGCAGAGGCTGAGCGTGATGATCTTGACCGGGAACGTGCCGCAGACCTCGACGCAGGAGAGCGAGACCTTGGAGATGCAGAGCGCGAAGATCGCGAGGCTGAGGAGCGAGAGGCTGAGCGTGGCAACTCTCTTGCTGGGTTGCCATTAGCAGGGCTGCGTGGGCTCGCAGGCGAGGGAGAGTGGGAAGATATGTTGTTGTTCAGCTGTGCAGGCAGGGCAGGTGCAGGCTTTGCACCACCAAACTGAGCCACCTTTGCAGGGGATCTGGTAAGAGTAGCTGGTTTTGTCGCCTGGGCACTGGCGGGGCTGCCAGACTCTGTCTCAGAGGCATTCAAAGTTTGCACTGGTGCTGCTTGCGATGTTCTGGTCTTTTTTGGCAACTCCTCATCACTGTCGCTAGCCTGTCAGGACTGACAAGCAGTTTCTGACAAGCAACAGCACACACTCAGCAACCCGCCTCCAAAAACTTCTGAAAGTCCATTGCGTCGTCACGCTTTGCAGGTTTGACCTTTGGGCTTGCGCGTGCACCCGCGGCACTGCCGATTCCAAACCTCCAAAGAAACATCTTCGCAGCATTCCTAATACATTCCCACACTCGGAGGAGCAGATTCTTAGTGCATGCTATAAAAAATGCTGCTCACAAATTGCACACGCCTACTTAAGTCGTCGAGGCCACCCCCCAGAGCTGTCCTCCGAACGGTTGCACCTGCCACAGAGTGCTCAAAATCGGGCACAAGCAAAAGACCAACCCCACCAAGGACTCGTGCCTGCCGACTTTGCCGTTGCTGCTGAAGCCTCTGCCCACGCTTTGGCCTTTGGCTTTGACCTGAAGCTGATAACAGGTTTCATCGCCCCCCTTGCACAGACGAGTCGCGCATCTCTCTCTGACCGCAAGTTTGCGATGGGCAGGTACCCTTGGCGGGAACTTGTCTGTCTCTTGCCATCTCTTGCCAAAAGTATTTTCCATGGACACTCGCCGTGCTGGGAGAGCATCCTGACTTGAACAGGGCTTGCTATGTCTTCTGTAGCGGTAGGGCCATGGCCTCAAGGAAAGCTATTCATCTACAGTACACTCTCCATCTGCCTCCCACTCCTGCTCTACTTGCGACGTCCCTCTCGCGCTGCTGCTCACCGCTTACTCACCCTACTGCTCCCCTCCACTCTGTTCAGAGCACAGGCCATGCGAGAACCTCCAGAACAATCCAGAATGACGATTTGAAAGACAAAGGGAACTGATTCCTGTATGACCATTTCGGCGGTATCACTCGTTTTCACCAAAGTGAGTCAAGTTCCATCTTGCCGTCTCGATGGCCCAGGGTTGCGATTGTTTCCGCGCGTGTCCATTGCGACAATTGTGCTGAATCCTCTCCTCCACGCCCGAAACCCTGGAATACCTCCATCCTAGACCCATGCTGAACGCAACTGGAACTGTATGATCAGGCTTTGAAAGGCATCTGGGATGTCGATGCCTCGCTTCTGAGACCCAAACGAAGAAGTCTTCGTGGTGGCCAGTTGCGTTGCAGCTCCTGCGCGACGTTCGGTTCAGCTGCTGGCCAAGTTCAAAGGTCAGACATGACAGGAACATAACTCTCCTCTGCTATCCAGCCCAAGAGCCCCTTTTGTTGGCATGTTGAAGTCGATGGGGAAGTCATAGCTGTCAGTACCAAACATACCTGTGTGCTGCTTGAGGCACAAGTCCACCCCTGCTGGGAAAGTCATAATTAGCATGGCAAGTACTGCCGCTCTAGATCATGTGTACTGTGGCATGATCAACCCTGCTTTGGCAGTCAGGCAGCTTTCCCGACCTCTCCGATCGTCAGTCCTGCGATTCTCGCGTGCAGCATTAAATGGAAACCTGATAGGAGCCACGAGCCCGAATGCGGTCGCGCGTCCCAAGAATCTGCATAAGGCTTTGAAACCCAATCCCGACAGCGAAACAAGTTGCGAATCATAAGAGGACCCCCCCATCCCTGAGACTGTTGACACTTTGGAGATGCGAAGACACCACGCGGGTCCAAAAGTGACGACAGTTCTGCGTTCCGCAACCAGGACACCCTCCGATCCCTGTGACTGTTGACACTTTTGAGACGCGAAGACCCGACGCAAGTCCAAAAGTAACAACACCCCCCCTATCCTGAGCATGTCGACACTTTTGAGACGCGACGA